AAAAAAGGAAAAGATGTATAAATGAACTAACAATTGGCTTCTATTTATTTTCCAAACTAAAATAATACTGATTTGTCAATTGGGCAACTTAAAAAGTCTTACATTGGAATTAGACATTATATCTTGTCCAAAAAAATAAAATAATTAACACCCCCTCCCCCAAATTCTTACTGGATAGAATTTGTCCCTCACTTTGAATACAAGAACCCTAATGCAATGATAGTGGATTAATCTATGATTGTTATTGGTTCATCTCAATCAGTCAGATGTTTAGACTGGATTTGGCATTTTATCTACCTATCAAGTTCTTTGCAAGGATTTGGGATAGGCGGATGTGAATGTTTGATGGTGTTAGAGGTATTGTCTGCAGGATATAAGCTGTTCCGAGTAAAGCTGCCTTTTGCAATTGACTGATGGTGAATGTATCACTTCCAGTGGTGTTCAAGTGGTGCTCCAGTTGTTTTGGGATTGCACCCCAGGCACCTATTACTACTTTGCTTTCTTTTGCCACAGTAGTTCTATTTCTATTTGCAGGTCTTAGTGTTTTGTGATTTTCTCTGGTTCTTTCTCTTTTATTGTGCTGTCTCCAGGTACTGCCACATGCACTATCTGGACACTTTTGTCTTTCTTATCGCCAGTTATTAAGTCTGAGGTGTTACATGGCAGGTGCTTGCTGTTTGAGTTCAAAAGTCCCAGAGCCCTTTAGCTTCTTTATTTTCTATGACTTTCTCTGTTTTGTGGTCCCAGAAGTTCTTGCTTGCAGGCAAATGGTATTTTCCTGCAGATCTTATTATTTTTGCACGCCAACAGAAAAGACACGGAAGGGTAATGTTGATGGTGAGATGCTCCTCTCCTAGGATTTCAGCATATTGGTTATTCAGCTCAAAGACCCTCACCTGCGTCACAACTAGAAGCATAAGGTGCAATATTAATCTCACAATGTCTTCTCATTTTTATGGCAAGGGATTTCCTCATATCTTGCCCCCAACCAGTTATTTAGATTCCTTGAGCAATGGCTTGATGAAAGGAGGAAGACAACTTCTAGATTTGCACATTCATGTTTGCAGTTTTTTTTTTCCTTCTTCTTTATGGATATTTCCTTCAGAGACATATATACAGTATATTTCATGGATAAAAGAGAAATTGCTAGTATTTTAACGTTTTAATAAAACACAATCCCCCTAGCTGTCAACCAGTGTAATGTGCAGTGTGATATAGTAATGCCTTGGGAAATATATACTAAGATGTTTTCCAGTAATGAAACAAAATAGCTGTTTTATATTAGTCCTTTTTTCCCTCTTACAAGTGCAAAAGCTGTAGTCTGGAATCATATTTTACCAAATATCAAACTATGCAGAAAGTTACAGACATTCTAAGAAGGACACCAGAAAATGGTCAGTATACTGATGCCTATTCTATATCAATGTCAGTATTTAGATATATAGATATGTATCTCAGAAACCACTAGAATTCTGAAAATAGAATGAGAGTCATATATTAATGAAGCTAAAATTAATGAATAAGTGTTAGCTGAAAGTAATGTTTTGACCAATTCATAGCATGTTGCAACTTACTGCTACCAACCCATTCAATCAATCATTTTGAATCAACCTGCATCCCCTCTCCTTTGTCCTCACAATTCACAGATCAGGAATATGGTCAGCATATCTATATATGCTTGTGATTCTGGAGCTCAAAGAGGGGTTTTTCAAACAATCTCAACTCTGCCCAGTACTGTGAATAGCTGAGTGCTAACAATGTTAGCTAATTAGCACTGGTTATTTGATTCAAACTTACAATCATTGAGTTTCTCTTTTGTTCTCACAACCCCAGATATTTCAAAAAGTATAAAGGAAGGAAGGAAGGAAGGAAGGAAGGAAGGAAGGAAGGAAGGAAGGAAGGAAG